TGACATATAGGTGATTGTCAAACCTTCAACAAAATCATATCAGCGCAAAACAAAGTGGTATATCTAATTTATTAACTTCTAAATAGCTCAAAAAACTCTTCGCTAACTTTTAAGCACATGATTCCATGAACCTTTTTTCTAATTGGTGACTATCTTTCTCTGAAAGGCTCATTGTTGTCATGACAAAGTTTCCCATCAGACCGATAAAAACCATACATCCTGTGTATTCCGTGCATCCATACAATCCAGGCTGAGATTAGTCTATTCAAAATCTGATTGCTATATGGTGCATAATATGGAAGTCATAAGGAAAGACAATCAAGTCTTTCCTTATTGAAACTTTATACTGGCAGAAAGAAATGGTCCACACTGACGAGCGCAGGCTTGCTATTTAGTCTAACATCTCTAGTTTCAATGGGAAAGACTGTACCTGCTTCATTCAAAGAACTAAGAATCAGCAATAATTTAAAAAAATGAAATTCCTTTCTGCTGGTAGTAATGAAGGACTGAACTGTTTCAATGAGGGGGGTCTGAGCAGTAACTGTCTGAGCAGTGTCCTCAGCTTTCTGTGCTTTATGCTGATTGTGACAGGCAAAACTGATCATTATATTAGCCTGATAACACTTTATTGTCAATTTTCACAGAAATTTGTCTTCCAAGACAGCGCCTTTTGGTTTAATAATAATAATATTGAATAAGGAATAAAAGAGATCTTAGACTTATTCCTCCTGCTACTTGGAACACTTCCCTGAGGGAAGCAACTGAAACTGCTCATGCAAAACATGAGAAGAATCCCAGGCAATTTTATCAGCCAATCTAAGGGTATTATTTGTGCAGCTTTGAAAGAATGAGAGATCCCTGGATTCACCCACCACTTTTGGAGCAGATGCCCAGGAGCCGTATGATCCTGGCCTTAAGCTGGTGAGGCCATGGAACCAGACCTTTCATACAGCAAGACACTTTGAATGGTGGAGAAAAAGAGCAGGTTAGGGATTCCCCTAAAGGCTTCAGGAAGTCCTAGCTGCCTTGGAAATAGATCTGCTGTATTGTACTACAAACATAGTCAACATGATGTCCAGTTAAATGCACATACACACCCAGGCTTTTAAAGAATGCTGTTTGTGTAATAGGTTGATCGTGTATTATAACTGGGACTGCACATATTTATGATGGTGTTCAATAAATAATCTGCTCTGTTTTAACAGGGTTTATAATGTTAATAATAAGAAGAATAAATAAGAAGAAAAAGAAGAACAATGACTGAAAAATATGTAGTTTGAAATGTTTTCAAACAGATCCTTCTCGTTAATTCACACTTGTACCAAAGGTTACTGCAGCATATTGTGCAATGCCTGTCAATAAGTTGAGAATCAATAAAACGAATCAATAAAAATATAAAATGTGATGTATAGTAATCGCACCATTAAAGTCGCAGTCAGGAACTGCTGAAGCAGCACTGTGTTCGCCCCCTGACTGAGCCTTAAAAGAACACAGCTGATGTACATATTGTACGTTACAGTGGGGGCGTTTGTTGTTATTTGCACAGTTTCTTGCTTAGTAAAAAGCGGTTCCAGGGCTTTGAGCTTTCTGACTGAAGCAACAGTGAGCAATGCTCCAGTTTCTGCCTTCCTGCCTGTATTTCCTGATGTTTGTTGCGGTTTAAGGGTCCGCAGGATGATTTAATATCAGCATGACCAAGAACATGAGATCGACCACTCTCGCCTCAGCACTGGTGGACAAATGTTCTGTATTTCCATTTAATGTTCCTAAATGACCAGTTTATTAGATCTGCCATTAAGTGAACAGATGGGTAAATTACTTTTTGAAAAGTAAATGGTATTTAACAAAAAATGGCAAGTAATATCTGGGCAAGTGCCAGTCCTTTTTGAGTGGAACATTTCTTTCAAGTCCCTGTGAATGCACACATTACTTTATGACCAGCTGGCTGAAGTGTGTTTTAGTCCTGTGTCTGCAGCTTTTACTGGTAAAGGCTAAAAGAGTGCAAAGCTGATGTTTTGGCTGCTGAAGTTAAAGGGGAATTACACTGATTTTTCAACATTTCTGCATAATGAAATGCTTAAGATGTAAACAAAGTCATTCAGAGCGGTTTGAGGTAAAATGCACCATTCTAGAGAAACTACCCACAACAGAATGGTTCACAGTGGTGGTGAACCAGATGTCTAAGGTGTTTAATACCTCTAAAAGCTCACACACAGGAAGTTTTTACATGAAATGGTCACAAATGCACTGCCTGATGTATGAGACCTTGTTTTACAATAGTTTTGAAATAAAGTTTTGGCCTAAAATGTATTTTCTAAAATGTAACAAGCAGAGCAGTACATGCAGGACGTTGTAAGGTAAACAGTCCCCAAAGAAAACTTACGTTTTCAATCCACCACTCTTTCACCATCATCAGCATTCCATATAAAAACTCAGACACATGGTGGTTTTGGATAGTAAGTAAAATGGCTATATTTTCAAAATTTGGTAAAAAAAATTAAGGTAACATACAGAAGGTACTAAAAATACCCCAATAAGACAGGAATACAAACATGTATGTGTGAGAGAGTTTGCGTATATTGAAAAGTAAGTGTATGCATATGTGTGTTATGATGACAATATTCCATAGTTAGTATAAACAATTTGCAGGAAGCTGCCAAAATTAACTGATTTCCGATGACGAGTACAGCTGTAGACGATTCCATAATAACCAAGAAAGCTGCATGACATCGAAAAATACATCCAGAATGCCTCATATTTGAAAAGCGGCGATCAAATCTTGCTGATCAAATAGCCATTCAAAGTACTAGTATGTACTAATATGTTTAACCACTGAAACAGCAACATTAATGCAACAATTATTCCGAACTTGCCTTACTATCTGATAACTTGGGCTCAAGGCTATCGCACAGCGTTTAAATCTATATGTATCATCAGGCTGACCACTACTGTATACAGAACCTCAATGTATTAAACTGGGATAACTTACATTTGTAAATGCATGTCTTGTACATAAGACCCTGTATGGTTTGGCTCCTCGTCCTCTAACTGCCTTCATTAAGCAATAACAACTGAAAGTAAGTCCACTAGATTAGTGACAAAAGGAGATACCGTGATGAGAAAGACGTCTTTTGGACATTCCGCTTTTCAGTAAGAGCTGCTCAATGAGCTGGAATGAGCTGCCTGTACATATAAGAGAATGCACTGCATTTGGCTCTTTTTCTCACCACAGAATGGGGCGCTCTGGAGCAGATGCACATGAACCTAAGGCTACCATTCCCAAGCTAAAGATGTATAACGCCCCCCAGCATTGGGATGTAAAGCAGTGACACTGAGTTCTCTGAAGTGATAAAGCACCACTGAATCCCTTTGGGAGGAGCTGGAGTGGCACTTAAGATCTAGAAATAATCATTCAACATCAGTAGCCTCACCTCACTAATGCTCTTGTGGCTGAATGCAGTCAAATCCTCACAGCAATGTTCTAGCATCTAGTGTAAAGCCTTCTCAGAAGAGTAGAGGCTGTTACTGCAGCTAAAGAAGTACAAACTCAGAAGATTTCAGAAGAAACGTTGGATGAGCAGGTGTCTAGAAACTTTTGGCACATGTAGTGTAGTAAATCAATGTAACAGCTGCATTGTGCTTTGTTGTATATGCTGTCTCGTACTGCTGTATGTATCGTTCATGTTTGTATGTATGTGCTTTTGTACAGAGCCCTGCTGGACTTAGTAAAGTGTGGGAACGAGATTCTAACGCGTGACCACAACTTAATTATCTCGTTACCACACCTTACTAAGTTGTGGCCACACGTTAGAATCTCGTTCCCACACCGTACTCAGTCCAGCAGGCCACAACTTCGTAAGGCGTGGGAACAAGATAATTAAGTCATGACCACAACTTAGTAAGGTGTGGGAATGAGAGAATTCAGCCTTGACCACAGCTTAATAAGGCATGATCTCATTCTCAAGCTGTGGCCAGGGCTTAATTATCTTGTTTCCACATCCTACTAAGTTGCGGCCATGCATTAGGATCTCATTCCCACGCGTTAATACGGTGTGGCCATGCATTATTTTTATTAGTACAGGGTGACATCCTATATAAACAAAAATAATGCGTGGCCACAACTTGTTCCCAAATTATCTTGTTCCCATGCCTTACTAAGTCATGGCCACGACTTAATACCGCGTGGGAATGAGATAATTAAGCCTTGACCACAGCTTAATAAGGCATGATCTCAGTCTCAAGCCGTACTAAGTTGTGGCCAGGGCTTAATTATCTTGTTCCCACATCCTACTAAGTCATGGCCACGCATTAGGATCTCATTCCCACGCGTTAACACGGTGTGGCCATGCATTATTTCTATTAATACAGGGTGACATCCCATATAAACAAAAATAATGCGTGGCCACAACTTGTTCCCAAATTATCTTGTTCCCATGCCTTACTAAATCATGGCCACCACTTAATACGGCGTGGGAATGAGATAATTAAGCCTTGACCACAGCTTAATAAGGCATGATCTCAGTCTCAAGCCTTACTAAGCTGTGGCCAGGACTTATCTTGTTCTCACATCTCACTAAGTCATGGCCACGCATTATTTCAATTTCTACAGGATGTATAAATAAAAGGAGCAGGGCTCTGTACTTTCGTGTTTTTGGACTCTGGTTGGTCCACTGACAGTAATGTTTATTAGTCCGTGTTGTCCCTGTAAAAGTGGACTAAACCATGTCGTAACTTCCTGTTGTTACCCAAATTCTCTAGATTGTGATTAAACTACCGCTTCACGTTTCTCTGTCTCGTTTAAACCTTCTCCAGTCTTGTGAGTACATGTGCGCACTTGAGCATGTGTTTATGCGCGCGCGTGCGTGCTCGTACATGGGTTTGTGTGCCTGTGCGCGCGTGCATTCATGTGTGCACGCGTTATCGAATGTGCACTGAAAGTGCCCGCGCCAGCGCGCGCGCTCGCTCCCCTCCCTCCCCACTCCCCCCCTTCAGCAGCTCACCTTGATGAGTTTGCACCTGATCTGCGCGGACACCATGTGGCTGTTCCTCAGGTTGCCCACGCGGAACATGAGGCACAGCTTGCCGTCGCGCTGCGAGATCACGGCGTCCTGGCTGAACATGAGCGTCTCCGCGCGCTTCTTGGGCTGCGACATCTTGATGAACATGCAGCCGATGAGGAAGGCGTCCACGATGGAGCCCAGCAGCGACTGGAAGAGGAAGAGGATGATGCCCTCGGGGCACTTCTCCGTGATGTAGCGGTAGCCGTAGCCGATGGTGGCCTCGGTCTCGATGAAGAAGAGGAAGGCGGAGGGGAAGTTGTAGACGTTGGCCACGCACGGCGTGTACGAGGCGTCGTGGCCGTGGTTGAGGTCTCCTCTGATGTAGGCGATCACCCACCACATGAAGGCCATCACCAGCCACGCCACCGTGTACGTGAGGATGAAGATGAGGAGGTTCCAGCGCCACTTGAGGTCCACCAGCGTGGTGAAGAGGTCGGACAGGTAGCGGCTCGTCTCTCCGCCGAGGTTCCCGTGCTGCACGTTGCAGCGCCCGTTCTTCTCCACGAAGCGCTGCCGCTTCTTCCTCGCGGGCGCCGAGAACGGAGCGCCTCGGTTGGTGTTCACCACCTGGTAGTCCTCGCCGAATTTGCGCCGGAGAGCAGCCATAACTTACTTTCTTCTTTTAGCGAGACGCTGTTTTGGTGTTTTGTGGGATAAAAGAACCGTCACCGCGCGCTCAGCATCACAGCAGCGCTCCGTTTGGTCTCACTCAGTTTCAGAAGTGGTCAGATCGAGGTTCCTCAGGGTGAGACATGCTGACAGCGCGAGTCAGCGCTCCGAGTCCACTCTGCTCCTGTTTCTCAGGAACTTCTCAGCTCGGAGACGCTCAGAGCTCCTCACTGACTTTTAGCCTGTTCGCTCACAGCAGTCCGGACTGTGACTCGTTCTCTCGCACGCGCGCTCTGAAACACTCGCTCTTGCGCGCGAGGCTAGGAGAGGCAAAAGAGCACGAGGAGGGCGGGGCGGAGGAGGAGAGCAGACAATCAGCAGCAGCACTACAGCGGAAAGAGATGGAGGAGGAATCTCACTGTTCATCACCTCTCTCTCTCTCTCTCTCTCTCTCTGGCTCTCTCACTCACTCACTCACTCGGTCTCTCTCTCTGTCTCTCTCTCTGTCTCTCTCTCTCTCTCTCTCTGTCTGTCTCTCTCTCTGTCTCTCTCTCTCACTCTCCCTCTCTTTCTGTCTCACTCATCTTCGTTTTTTTCTCTTTTTATACTTCCTTCTCTTTCCGTCTTTCCACTTTGTTCTCAGCCCTTTTTTTTTACCTTTTTTCTTTCTTTGATTTGTTCTTCTTTGTTACCTCTTTCTCTCTCATATCTCTCTCCATTTTTCACCCTCTCTTTTTCTGTTTCTTTCTCTACTTTCTCTTCTTTCTTTTTCCAAAGAGCAGTGGTTGTTTTTTTTCTCTTTCTCTTTCCTTGTATGTCTCTCTTTATTTCTGTCTGTTTGTCTCCCACTCTCTCTCTCTCTCTCACTCACTCTCTATTTCTGTCTCTCTCTCAGCTTTCTGTTTCTTTTTCTTTGTCTTTTTTCTACTTTGTTCTCTTTCTGTCTCTATTTAGTTTTTTTCTTTCTTTCTTTGATTTGTTCGTTTTTGTTCATTCTCTTTCTCTGCCTGTTCCTTTCTATCTGTTTCTCTGTCCCTTCTGTTTCTTTCTGTCTTTTTCTACTTCCTTCTATTTCCATCTCTCTCTCTCTCTCTCCCTCTCCATTTTTCTCCCTCTCTCCTTTTCTATTTCTTTTTCTTTCCATCTGTTTTTTTCTCAGTCTCTTTCTCTCCCTACTCATATTTCTGTCTCTTTTTCTTTCTTTCTTTCTTTCTTTCTTTGTCTCTGATCAATTTCTGTCTTTTTCACCCTCTTCATACTTTTTCTTCTTTTCTTTTTTGTCTGTTTCTATTCTTTCTCTCTTTCCAACTCTCTCCTCTCTCCTTCTCTCTGTTGCTCTCTATATTTCTTCATCAGTCTCTGCCTTCTTTGATTTCTTTGTTCATTTTCTCTGTCAGTTTACTTCATCTCTCTCTCTCTCGCTTTCTCTTTCTCTCTCTATACATACTTACATACATACAGACATAAATGTCTCTCTATATGTATTTATACTTCAATCTCCTCTTTTCTCTCAATCTCTATTTTTTCTCTGCTTCTTTCTTTCATTTTTCTTTCTTTTTTCTCTTTCGTCTCTCTCTCTCTCTCTCTTTTTAGCACACTATAGTCTAGACTCTTTCACTCTCTCTATTTCTTCCTCTTTCTCTGTTTCATTGAGGTACCTCTTTCTTCAGGGTGGGTCGATGTACAGTAGTAGCTGTATTCTGTGTCTTTGGCATTTTAAACAAGTGGCTCAGCACAAAGTGGAATATATTTATTTCCATTGTGAAAACAAATGAAACAAATGAATCCCAAACACTGCAGAGGGGGGAGTTGGAAAAGAGTAGCATCTTTCAGTATTTTCTCTCTCTCTCACTCACCCTCCCTCTCTCCCACTCTCTCTCTCTCTCTCTCTCTCTCTCTCTCAAACGTAGTGGACTCTCGTTTTCCATCAATCAGCAGATGAACTAGCGCCATCTGGCGGTGAAGAATGGCGGATACAGTGCCCAGCCTGCCTCAGTGAGTATGACTTTTTTTTTCCTTTTTTGAGCCCTAATTACAAACACATAATAAACGACCAGGTGCTTTGCCTTGGAGTGGTAGCAGGGCTAATTAGATTTTATTGACTTTATGAACTTTTATTGAAGCCCTCCTCTCTGTGGAGCGTTCTTGCTATAAAGTGCTCGCTTACTCTTGAAGGCTCTTTATTGATTCCAGCCCTTTCCGTGTCTTTCAGCTAAGTTTAAAACAACTCTGAAAATTGGTGTTTTAGGCCTTGGAGATTCATCTGAGCCAAACCCAGAGGAGGAACATGAACAGCTCTGCCTGCATCGGACACGTCTGCACGTCTGCAAAGAGCAGTGGTTGGTGATTAAACTCTTTAAACCTGTTAAGCACATTCATTACCTTATCATCACTATTACACTGGTAATAAACAGCCTGCTGTGGATTTGTCATAAAAGGGTGACATCTGGCCATGTACACACACACTTAACCGTGTCCCCTGGATTTCAGAGTTGCCCTGTTAATAAACTCAGAGGAAAATAATTCATTATTTATTTGAAATATACTTTAGCTGTTAGACAGCTTCTTTATTCTTTTGCAACTACATACTTTAATATATACTACCAGGGGTGTGAATCACTGAAAGCAAATCAGTTTGATTTCAGAATCTGTTCAATTTCACTGGCTTTTGAATTGAATCAATTCAATTGTGTCAGAATCTGTTGGACCTAAACTGATTCAAGACCAGTGAGAGAGAATCAATTTGATTTCACTGGTTTTAAATTTGTTCATTTTGGCTGGTTTCAAATCGACATGATTCACTGGTTCCAAACCGTGGTAATTCCATTACCCTGGTTTAAAATGGACATTATTCACTGGTTTCGAATTGATTCGATTCAGAAGTGATTTTTGTGAATTAAGAACGTTCCAATTTGATTCAATGATTCATTAAGAATTATTATAAAGAATTAAAAGTATTGGTACAGTATAATGAACTAAAATGCTTCCCCCAATATTTCTGAATCAATTAAATTACTTCAGTAATGATTATGTGTGCATCAAAAGTGATTCCAAAGGAACACACTCGAAATTTAGAGAGCGTGTGTTTGTGTGTGTTTGTGTGTGTTTGTATGTGTGTGTGGCCTCAAGTTGGAGAATCTCTCAGGTCTTTAAATATCACACATATTTCTTTAAACAAGTTTCATTTGTGAATTAATAATAATTTATTAGATTCATAGCGTTTAAAGAGTCGCCTAATTTTTGGCTGATGCAAACAATTCGGTACCATTTTCTTTGCTTTTACTTTAGATTGAGTTTCATCATCAAGAAAATGAGTGAATTGACACACTACTACAGCTCAGGATATACGTCAAAGTCAGGATAGAACAGTGTTCTGGCGCATATTTCCAAATCTAGGTAGTTGCTTTTATGGGGAAACTGCATATTGTTGTTTTTTGCTGTTTGCAAAGCATGTGCATAAACCAATCCACCTCATTCCAGCCTACAGCTGGTTCAGCTAGTGTACAGTTGTGGTGCAGCAGGGTCCACCCACCCAGTCTCCCACCCAGTAACGCATTCTGCAGCAGCCTGTCTGTGTGTTCAGAAGGTAAAAGCAACTGTACAATCAATAATAAACATGTTTGTTCACTTTCTAGTTACCTCCAACTTCAGTGGTATCATTTGAATGTCATGTGATGCTTTTTGACAAGTCTTGTTTTTTTACCGAGTAATTTTAAAATCATAAATTAGCACATACGTTAGCACAACCCAGACAGGAAGTAATGATTGATCCCAAGCTAACTAGCCTTCTCTCAGCCATCCACTGCATGTTTAATATAATATAGTGCTTTCATAAGAGTTACTGAGTACATTGTAGTTACATAGTAGTTACTAGATAGTAAGCAAACTGAATTATGGCTGTCATGATTAAGCTCAATTACAGAAATGATTGTTTATAATATGCCTTATTGATGAATCTGCAGTGATAATTTGAAACTTTGCATGATGATAATGTGTATTTCTCCTACAGTAAGACACTCTTTTGGTCTTTTAAAGGCTTCTTGATTTCTCTTCTATAATAAAGTATTTTGGAGTGTTTGAAAGGCTCTGGGTGGTTTAGTTTTGTTCAGTTCATTCCATTTTGGCCATGTTTGGCCTTTAGAAGCTCATTATGGTTTAAACGGTTAAAAAGACAAACTGCAGGTGAAGCACGTGCTCTTCGTATTCCAGTAAAGGCTTTGGGATGGCAGTGTGTAAGACAGGATAGCAGGGTGTTGTGGTGGTCAGCAGCTATTTTCAAGGCCAAAGGAATTTCAGTAAAGCTGTAATAGGAACTGCTGCTGATGATGTAAGCACATGATGATGTCATTTTGACTCTCTCTCTCTCTCTCTCTCTCTCTCTCTCTCTCTCAGTCAGACTCCTAACAGCTAATCAAGGACTGGGTGACTTTGAATGAGAGGAATAAAATCTGTCTGTATGTCTGTCTGTCTGATTCTCTGTCTGACTGTTTTTCTCTCTCTCTTATCAGGTTTTTCTTTCTTCTGTTAACACTACTTCACACAACATTAGATAAATGGATATTTGACATGAAAAGTTATTAAAAGGATTGTATTTTATATTTATATTTTATCTTAAATCTTAATTCATTTTATGTCGTATTTTATTTTAAGTATTTTATACTTTAGTTTTGAAATATTCAGGGCGGATAGGTTTGATATATATATTCCCATATTTTTCAGTGTAAATGTATCAAAAAATCACACAGAAGCCTTAACAACTTAGTATCAGTATTTAGTGTGCCCACTCTCTGCCTTTATTATGGCCTCCACTCTTTTCACTTCAGAAAGGGACATTTTTCCAAAGTTCAGTCTTAGAAGTTGGTTGCGTTTACTGCTTCTCACAAACCAATTAATCCCAAATACATTCAGTGGTGATGTGTTCTGGACTCTGGGGTGGTCAGTCCATTGTTTTGAGAAAAACACCAGCTACTTTATTTGAGTGACAATTTTTATTTTTT